TTGGGTGTGAAGGTGACATCAACGCAGCACATCATCTCCACTACTGCATCCTTTGCTTTATAATCGACGGACAACCTTGATGTCCCTGTGATTAGATCCAGGAACCGTCCAGGAACAGGCCCAGCGTTCAACCTGGAAGCACGATGACCCTGCAGACATCTCTAAACATCCCTCAAGGTTACATTTGTGCTTGGAGAACTGTGGGCTGGATTTTAAAACAGAACTGTCCACCTGCCGGACATGCCAAGACGTGACAAACACGACACAACCCTTGATAATGTTTGCTGCCAGCTGTCCAAGCAAAACGAAAACATATAGAAGTGTCTCCCGTTTCATTGGTTGGACATTTTCTCATGTATGCTTACTTGTAAGCTTTGCACACAAGACAGGATATTTCTGCTTGAGGGATCTGTAGCGTGTGCAGAATGAGAATTTTCCCAGGCAGAAAACCCTCTCCTCTCGCATTGTGGGACTTGTGAATATTTTCGCCTTAAGCCAGCAACACAAATAAAAACAATTTCATTCATCAGTCGCATTGAGTGGGATAATCACCATGGCAGCGCTATGATAGATGCGTCTAGCGCCACCCAGGCGTGTACCTCGCGTGTCCCAAATAGGCACTACTCCCTTCAGAGTGCCCTACTTTCTGCCAGGCTGGGATCCGCGGAAGTGCACCGTAGAGGGAAGGGGCTCACGTTTAGGACACACGCTGAGACACGAACTCGGCAGCTGGAATCAATAGTCTGAAAAGGGCAGGCGAGCACACTAGAATCCATGTCCACTCAGTCGGTCCCACATCCCCGCGTCCCAATCGGCTCGCTTACCCCTACCTGGTGCCCTATTTCCACCGGGCCCGGTTGGGAGAGGGGACAGTTGTGGACGTATCTCCCGTCCGCCGTCACCATACCGGGTGTCAGGAAGGCCGAGTTGCCCGCAGGCAGAGCAATCCATCAGCGCATGGGCCTGGCCTTCAGACTAAACATACTAAACATCATTATAGCAGGTCAACGCCGTCGCCGTAGCAGCCACTACTACCCCCCGACCCCCGACCCCCTGCAGTCCTTTCCCTCGGAGCTACTGCATGCACGTTTAGCGTTACGAGACACTGGAGTAGAAACAGTGTGGCTGCGACAAAACACAGGGAGGAACGGGCGAAAGGTCTGTTCTCGCTGGCTGTCGTGGCAACGGCCGGTTCTGTTTTGATTCAGACGTGACAGGAGCTGTCATCGCGTGGTCGGCTCAGTGCCAAGACAGTGGTCAATATGTATCCTCGGTTTTCTCCGTGTATTCAATCCAACGCAATAATACTAAATGTATTACTCTATCATTGAATGCCAATTACTCTCATGTGCTAATTCTATTGCCTGCTAGTGGTGAAACGGGTTACATACATTAAATCCACTGTAATGAGACTGTCTGTTATTCTTTTGGATGAAATCGGTTACATTTACAGACAGAAGGCCTATCTGACCTGAGATGTAAATACTTGCATTCAGACCGAGACACAAAACACTGCTAGTTGATGCAAATACGATACAGACACTCCCACTCGTCGACACACAAAGAGGAGGGAGAGTTGAACAATGAGCCTTTTTACACTACGATGGTTTTATTTATGTTTGACAAACTTGTTTGAGAGACACCACTATAACACCAGAGACACCACTATAACATCAGAGACACCACCATAACATCAGAGACACCACCATAGCATCAGAGACACCACTATAACATCAGAGACACCAGTATAACATCAGAGACACCACTATAACATCAGAGACACCACAATAACATCAGAGACACCACTATAACATCAGAGACACCACTATATCATCAGAAACACCACTATAACATCAGAGACACCACTATAACATCAAAGACAGTACTATAACATCAGAGACACCACTATAACATCAGAGACACTACTATAACATCACTATAACATCAGAGACACCACAATAACATCAGAGACACTACTATAACATCAGAGACTCCATTATAACATCAGAGACACCACAATACCATCAGAGACACCACTATATCATCAGAAACACCACTATATCATCAAAGACACTACTATAACATCAGAGACACCACTATAACATTAGAGACACTACTATAACATCACTTTAACATCAGAGACATCACTATAACATCAGAGACACCACAATAACATCAGAGACACCACTATATCATCAGAGACACCACTATAACATTAGAGACACCACTATAACATTAGAGACACCACAATAACGTCAGAGACTCCATTATAACATCAGAGACACTACTATAACATCAGAGACACCACTATATCATCAGAGACACCACTATAACATCAGAGACACCACTATAACATTAGAGACACCACAATAACATCAGAGACACCACTATAACATCAGAGACTCCATTATAACATTAGAGACACTACTATAACATCAGAGACACCACTATATCATCAGAGACACCACTATATGATCAGAGACACCACTATAACATCAGAGACACCACTATAACATCAGAGACACCACTATAACATCAGAGACACTTCTATATCATCAGAGACACCACTATAACATCAGAGACACCACTATAATAGTATTTCTGAGACCATTGAAAACTGAGAAGCCTTGTCATGAATGAAAACAGATTTAACCGTTGGTGTGTTTGTCGCAAGCAAACCCACGCAAACAGCAGAGGAGAGGAGAGGTTTTACGAAAATATATTTTGATTTCAGTCAACAAGACTTCTTGCTAGATCTATGATTGAGGCTCTAGCATCAGAGAGACAAGTGTAAAGGCCCTGTAAGATTGGGACAGTTTCTTTGACTGGCATTAACACTGTAGTCGACTCAGAGCCTTCGCTGTTAAAACATAATAAAATCTAGACATCCCAGGACACGAATTCTAGACACACAGACATGAAATCTAGACACACTGTGAATACGGGCAATTATTGGTCATGCATTCTGCCGAACAAGATCTCACGTCACGCTCTTTTATTCTGAAACGGTAGAACTCTTCAGCCTTATCTCAAGTGGTCTGGTTCTACAATACGACCAGAACGTTCACATGAGTCTATTAACAGGATGTTATTTTACAGTGTGTGTGTGTGTGTGTGTGTGTGTGTGTGTCACAAATTGCTCCCTATACGGCCCAATAGGGCCCCATTTTGACCGTGATCACTGCCCGCTCGGCCACCTAGCCCTCATAAACCACGCCCACGTCAGCCAGAGTCCCACACATTTTCACGGGGAGCAGCTTGCTTATACGGCTCTGCTCCCAACACAACGGCGATAAAGCAATCCCCGCCGGCTTGTTTCCCGGGCAACACAGGGGACGCTCCCTTTCACACCCCGGACGGAGGCCGTTACAGCTGCCCTCTCCGCCCATCGGCCCCTCCCTCCGGCCCGTCGGCCCCTCCCTATGGTCCCCTTTAACCCGGCACAGTGGCATTCTTGCAGCGAGGGCCAGGATGCAGCCCTGGCTGACTCATCTATGTGAATGTGATCCCCTGCTGATTAGCAGTTCTGCCCTGAGTGACGTGTCACAATGGCCTTACACTATGACCCTTCTGCGGTTGCCATGACGCAGGCCCCAGTGTCAGCGGTCGAAATGTGGTCACAAATACGATTTAGGCACTGTGGCCCAAACATTCGGTACGCATATACGTGGAACCGGCCTATAGCGGGAGTTGTAGTTTGTTTTTTAAAGTGAGGAGCTCTAACATGGCCTCTGGAAATCTCTAAAACTATTCCTTGTGTTTTTTTGGTGCCAATGGTTTTAGATTTTATCTGTTCTAACTATTTTGTGTTCCATGTCGGACCAGTCTAAGTTCAAGGGGTTTGTTTTATATTTGCATGAGTTTTAAACTGATGTGAAACTAATGTAAAACAAAAACTACCAATTGGTGTTCATTCTGGGGAATCTTAAATGTCCCAATATGGCCCTGAAGTTTAGTGTGTAAGTTTAATAAATGTAATAATCTCCCCCTCTCCGACATAGAACACGGAAGAATGTCCAACATTTCATCCACGTTGAAACGAAAAGGGTTTTCGTGGAATCCAAATGTGACAGCTGAAGACCCATTCTGGTTTATTGTTCAAAGGATACGCGTGACTAGCCTTTGTGAGCGTAAGGTTAAGAGAAGCTAAGCTGGTAGAACGGTCAGAAACACTGATATCTGATAGAGCCCCCAGTTGGAGCTCTGGGGTTGTTTCTCTGCCTCGGCACTTCTTCCTGGGTCTTTTAACACTGCCTTTAATCCTTGAAGATTATCACTGTGGGGATAAATTACTCACACACAGGGTCCTATTCACATTCACCAGAGATACCATCGCGGCGTTTCAACATAAACAACATTTAAATTACACACACTTTTCTTCTTCCTCAACACACTCATGTTTGCCATTGCAGAAAGAAATCGCTGTGGATGTTAAATTGTACCATTTCATATGTAGCTTAGCTCTTCCCTGCACAAATGAGCAGAGCTTTTCAAGGGATAGTTATAAAAAGCAGATTGTCACAATGTTAGTTAGCTAGCTAACATTCGCTATCTAAAGAGATGTTACCGAGCTTAGCTGGCGTTAGCTAGCTAGTTGTCCGAGTCTGCCAGTCAACAAGATCATAGACACATACAGTTAAATATGTTCCACCAGATGCTAACTAGCTGCATTCTGTTACTGAGTAAGGGATCATTTACCTATCATGAGTTTGAATGAGGCTGCTAGGTTTATCCACACCTCCCGTCAACCGCTATAAACTGTTACAGCCGATTCAAAGATACGAGTGCAGAGAAAACATGTTGATCTGCAGGCTGACGGACGATAAAAGCGTCTCTTTATGAAACAAGAAGAGGTAGTTAGCATCACCATATACATTTTTGTGAAAATTCTTGCTTAACTCAATGAATCTCTTGTGGTGTGAGTCCTTGTACTGTGGGCACATAAACTATTTTGCCTTTCCAGTCTTCACTTGCTTTCTGTGTGTAGGCCACAAGACATGGAGTTGGTGTAGCTCAGTGTTAGAGTGCATGCTTTGTACGTTTGATTTCCTGGGTTCAATCCACCAATCAACCCAGCTTCTCCCCGTTGCCAATGAGAATTTGTTCTCAATTGGTCTACCTGATTAAATAAAAAATAATCAAACAGCTCTTCTTTTTTAACATGCATTGTGCATTTTTTTAACAAACCCCAAAAACAACATTCTTTCAAACATGGAATATAATGGCTATTGGCATTATAGTGATTCTACTCAAATATTATGTCCATTTAAAAAACATACTACACATCCAGATCCAGAATAAAATGTATCTAAATGTCTTGTTATTTGTGAAAGTGTCTATTTTATTTCCAACACATGGTTGCTTCAAACACTTGGATCCACTGAGGTTAGTTGGAAAACCAGTCGTCATGTGTGGCTTGTGTATTTACACCAGGTGCTGTTTTAAAAAAATACTCAAATCAAAATGTTATTCTAGATTTTGCCACAGGATTATTTCCACGCAAAAAAAGCAGACTAGCAAGCACTACAGGCGGAATAAAATAACCGAAGCCACAAACACATTCTTGATGCAACACTTCTGGAACAGCTGGAACCTGTTTCAGACAGGTATGATCAAATTGGATTAAACACTGTTTCCAGTTACATTTGATATTGTGTGTGTGTGTGTGTGTTTGTGTGTGTGTGTGTGTGTGTGTGTGTGAGCACACATCATATTCCTAAATTGTCACAGTCGAGAAAATGTCCTTGTCAGACGGAGAGTGTGTGAGTCTAATGTAACCTGCCTAATCTGATAAGAAGGCCAGTGTCCAAGTTGTCTGTTTTGGTAATGCACTGGAAGCTGGGGCCTGACACTAAACCCCCCCCACCTCACCACCACCCCCCACCCCATCTCTCTTTTCCTGCATTTCTGTGTCACCACATGAGATTAAATGGGGGAAGGTAGAGTAGGACAGGGATTTGCTCGAGATATGTAGAACCAGGAGGAAATGACTGCCCCCTAGGGGAGAGAAAAGCGATGCCATGCCTTATGAGATGAAACTGGCAGCCGGCCAGTGAGGACTGACGCCGGGGTGGTCGTTGGAGAGACACAGCACTGCTCCCTCCTTGACACAGCAATCTGTGCTTCCGCCTCTGGTTATGTGCCTCTCTGAATGTGTGCCGGTTGAGACGTGTGTGTTCCTGGAAAATACACAGTCAGAGAATAATAACACATGTGTTGCCCCTAGAGAGATGTATTTCTATAACCATAAACGTATAAACCTGCATGTTCATGCAACTGCTCTCCTCAAAATAAAAACCTCTAAGACTAATCCCGACCAGAAGTGTTAACCCCATTTTTAAAGACAACCTCAAATGAAGACTAAAACGCAAACACATTTTTTTTCTTTTTTGTGCTTGTGCAATGTCACTTAGGATCTGTATAGTCGAGTTTAAATACAGTCACTGGTCTTCTAACAATACATGCAAACTATAGTGGGAATAAAGGCAACACCAGCACAGAAATGCTTTGACGCTTCACACATTTCTTCAATACACAACAGCATGTCTGGGCTGAAAAAACCCAGCTGTAGTGTTGTTTTTCTCGGGTAAATCACATCTTCATATTGATTCAGACTCGTCTCTGACATTTTTTCAATGTGGACTTCTTCCATCTAAATCCCGACCGTCAGAGTACATACATTCAATATTCATGGCCCGCCCAAACGGCCCTCAGCCACCAATAGAATGTTGCGGTGGCGCAAAGGGTTAAACGAATGTCCGGACAAGGCTGGGAGGAGTGGGGACCTGTGATTGGGTAATTAAAAATGACGTAACCGATATGAAAGACCAAATAACTAGTTAAGAAGGCGGTCGGTTAGGAACTTTGGGAAAGGGTTGTTTGAATGAGCTGGGAGTGTGTGGTGGCAAAGGCAAGAGAGCAAAGCAGGAGTAAGGAGCAAGGGTCTGTGGGTATCTGCAGAGGATTTGAACAGCACACAGGCGCAGACATGGTGCAGCAGGTTGAACACAGCGAGGCGGAGTGTAACATGTCCAGAGAGGCGACAGACACGGAGGAGAGCGACCCGGTGGCGTGCAGCCCGGTGCCCCTGAAACCGGCGAGAGCCGACTGGTGCAAGACGGCGAGCGGTCACATCAAGCGGCCGATGAATGCATTCATGGTGTGGTCGAAGGTCGAGAGGAGAAAGATCATGGAGCAGTCCCCGGACATGCACAACGCGGAGATCTCCAAGCGACTGGGCAAACGGTGGAAACTGCTGAAGGACTGCGAGAAGATCCCGTTTATCCGGGAGGCCGAGCGGCTCCGGCTGCAGCACATGGCCGACTACCCCGACTACAAGTACCGACCCAAGAAGAAACCAAAGCTCGACCCTTCCACCAAACCAGCAGCCGCACAGTCACCGGAGAAAATACCCATCAGGTCGGTGAAAGCTCCCGGTAAGAAATACACCAAATTGAAAACGACCAAGGCGGTGACGACCAGACCCTCCCACGACCCCCGGTTCGACTACGTTTACACGAGCTTTAAAACCACCAGCAAGTCCGTAAAACGGGAATATACGGACGAGGAGGAGGACGATGATGATGATGACGAGGAAGAGGACTACCTGGAGGAGCTGTCCTCACGGATTAAAGTGGAGGAGGACGAGGAGGAGCCGATCCCGTTCAACATGGCCAAAGTCCCCGCGAGCCCCACGCTGAGTTCCGCCGCGGAGTCGGACGGGGCCAGCATGTACGACGAGACGCGGAGTGCCCGACCGGCTCCCAACCAGAGACTGTTCTACAACTACAAGAACATCACCAGGCAGCAGGGCGCACACTGTCCCGCATCACTCTCACCAGCAGCGTCCTCGTTCAGGTCGGTGTCCACCTCGTCCAGTTGCAGCGAGGACGCGGACGACTTATTGGTGGACTTCAGTCTGAACCTGGGGAACTCCAATTCGGGCAATCTGTCCTTCTCCTTGGTGGATAAGGACCTGGACTCGTTCAGCGAAGGCAGCCTCAGTTCCCACTTTGAATTCCCAGACTATTGCACGCCGGAGTTGAGCGAGATGATCGCAGGGGACTGGTTGGAGGCGAACTTCTCCGATTTAGTATTTACCTACTAGCTGAATACAGATGGGATGTTCTCACCCGGGTTCCAGTGCAGGAAGGACGGGTTTCCTATATGAACTATGAGATTAATTCCGATCTGGTGCCGCTGCAAGTACGTGGCATTAGTCACCGTGACAGGGTGTACTGGGTGTAATGGGTCTTCCTCGGGTCTGCAGTAAAACTGCTCGAACATCTCCAAGTGGGTCCACAGTCAGATCGGAACTATGCATTCCCGTCCCACTTGTAACCACTGGGGTATGAATACACAACTGGGCTGATCCGAGGCCAGATCTGCAACACTGCTCATTCAGGAGGTTCAACTTTTCAAAGAAAAAAAACTGATTTTATGTGATTTTCTGTGTTCCACACAACTGTTTATTTTTCTTATCCGTTCCAAGTCTCTCCTGGTGGAGAAATAAGTAAAACCCGCTATGAAACACAATTATAGCAGCAAGCAGCGTTTTGATACATAACCAACATACCTCATCTTTTTAAAAGAAGTTAGATATTTTCTGGCCTATTTTTGTACAGTTAACTTAAGGGAATGTTCTTGCTGTGCTTTCAGTGAGTATTTTTGAGGCACTTCTACCCGGTTTCATTTTGGTTCAGCATGGGAGGTTATTTGAGATGGGGTTTCTATGTACAGAAGATCTAGATCAGATTTGAGACGTTTGAGAAGTTAAATTGGAGTTGAAGAATATAGACCTCATTGCTGGTACTAGGTTCAAGATTGTATATGTTCTGTAAAATAGTAAAGTTAGGAGTTTATGTATATCGGTGTGAATGGGTCTCGGATAGCAGGTATGAAACTGGCTGTTCTGCATTTTATCATCTTAAAGGCACATATTGTTTTCTTCATTATTTTGTGCAATATAGGCTACTCTTAAATGGACCATCTGCGTTTTTGTAGCAAATGAAATATGTTACTTGTTGTCATGCCCAAGTCTGTATATTGACAAATGAATAAATCAGCAGGAACTGATTCAACTGATTGCTGATGTTTTGTTCTTACAGTGACATGATTGTGTGGGGGGGGCTGTTGGATGTCGTTTGGGGCATATTTGGGCTGTTGTTGCTGTTATTAGTCAACGACTATCCGTGAAACTATTTTTTATTAAATTGTCATTGTGGGCTGCATTAGTTGTCGGTGAACGCACCCTAATGGCCATAGTGCTTGTTAGGCTGTAGCATAAACCCATGTGACCCCTTTCAAGCACTAATGACAACTGCTAAATGAACTCGAACACTTATCTGTCTGTTTTTTTTTTGAGAGTGATTATTCTTTTTGGTTGGCATTACATGTGTAGAAATAGGCTAAATGGAACCAGTATTGACCTATATTGGCCCTTAATCTGGTCCCAATATGTTTTAGTGTGTTCTGCACTGTCGTGTTAAGTCTAGACAATGGGTTTTCCCCTACTTTGGAACACTTCTAATATATTTAGATCTATCCTTATTCGGGATTTCTCAGGATGTTAACCGTTTGCTTCTTGTAATATCCTTCGTCTACACAACGCCCCCTTATAAAGCTCCGTATTAGTGTGCGAGGGCACACTCAGACCCCCTGTCGGCATGATGTCACCGTGACAACAGATGGTAATGACCACACCAGCGTCGCACCAAATGACACCCTTTTACCTATTTAGTGACCGTTGCATTATGGGAAATGGGATGCTATTTTAGAACAGCGATGTTGTGAGGGGAACGCCTCCTGTTCTGTCCTCTGGAAAACATGAAATCTTACAGGATGTCACCTCTTCTGGGCTGTACAGCCGGTAACATTTGCATACACCCACTCATTTTAATAGGCTGGTTTGATGTATTTGGTTAGAGGTTCAACCAACCCCCCCTCTGGTGTTTCTGCCTGAGATCATCTCCTGTGGTGAATTGTAAACAATGACCCAGACGGTTCGGTTTTGGCCAGGATTACTGTGGGACAGTCACCCCCCTACTGGGTCGGTCTGTTTGGCCAACTGATGGTG